CACGGCTGGAGCCTGCCGCCCGGCTACCAATGAGGGGTGCCACACAGCGCGTGGACAGTGATGACCGCTGCTGCATATCGTGTGCGCTTTATCGCCGCAGGCCAAGGGTAGGGTCAGTGAAAGTGGTGGACAAGACCTCAGCGGCAGGAGGCGCGAAGTTTTTGTCCACACCCTGCCAAGGCTGTCTGTCACGGCGTTAACGTCGGAGATTCCTGCTCATTGGGGTCGGAGGCAGTGGAGCGTGTGAAGGCCTTTGTCAGAGACGTTACGCCAGCCCGTCTGGTCATCTGTTGACGACGAACAGCTGGCGTAATGGCACCGGAGTGACCAGACAGTGGTGTGTCAAAGATGCCCTAGCCCCTGGTACCGACTTATTCCAGATGACTCACACATCTGGAATAAGTGCCCAGGTCACGCAGTGCCCTGCGTCAAAGGTAACACAGTTCCAGGTTGCCAGATGGAGCCAGCTAATTCCTCTCGAGCTGTCTCGCAATCTTCCTGGCTGTTTAGAAGTGTAAGGGATCCTGACCAGTATTTGAAACCCCCAATTATCTTGAGTCGAGCTTATTTTCATCCCACGTGCGTTGGCTGTCTCCGCCGCCTCCGCCACGGCACCGACACCGTCACGTCACGGGACCGCCTCCGAATGCGTGTACCCTGACCGCGCAGCACACATCCAATTTAGCCAACCTCCGCTACGTAATAACCGACCCTGCGAACGATTCAACATTGTTCTCCCGATCCGCAACGGATTCCCGCGCATGCGCGAAGGTCATGCGTTGCAGCGAGGCCGCCGTGGCCGTCAGTGGGGCAGACTCCACTCTCGCCGTGGCCGTCAGTGGGTCAGACTCCACCCTCGCCGTTGCCGTCAGTGGGTCAGACTTTAGCGGCGGAGGTTCCCCTGGACCAGCACGTGACCCCGAGCACGGAGGTCGAGGCGTCGGGGGGAGAGAGGCGCGCTGCCTTCGGCAGTCGGTGCGTGGCTAGCATTGGATGCCGGCGCGGCCTGGCACCCCGGCAGGACCTCCATTGTGTCTGGCGTCGTCGGCCCTGCAGGATGACCTTGTCACACGTGGACGCCGCGTCGGCCGACGCGTCCGGCTGCCGGACAGATTATGTCTCTCGGCTCACGGACATTGTGCTGGCAAGATGGCAACGTTTAAGGACTGCGAACAATGCCCGTGTCTCAATTTAGGAAAGGGTGTTGCAGTGCGCCGGAAATATGTGCATTTTGTTTCCGTCCAGCGCGCACCATCTCAGGTTTATGCAAATATATCGCTGGTTTGGTTTGCGTGCAAAAGACTCAGACCTTGGTGCATTAAATGTGTGGATTCAAATACACTGTTGTCACTTTCAAGAACATACTGTTTTCCACACACAACTCGGAAATGATGTTGTTTCTTGGTCTCCTACCATTTGCGTAAGTCTCGCTTTTATCTTTTGACAGACGTAAGCATAGTGTTACGCCTTTGCCATCTCCGAAGCAGATGAATTTCATTCGTGGTTGTGTAGACGATGCACACATGGACAGATCGTAGCTTAACCAAGAAGAATTGCATCAATTCCGCCTTTCAAACACGCTGCATACAACACACGTCATTGCCGCGCTCTCAGAGCCTCGCACCGGCCTGGCTCTGCTGCAATCTGAGTAGCGACTGATTACCGATCGTGGGGAGGTTCGGCGATTGCATGGCTCTACAGGGGGCTGAGCGCAGCTGATACAGCAGGTGGCAAAGCTTATCCAATGGCCCCCGACATGGTAAGGAAAGCAGCTCCAAACCGCTGTTTTGTGATGACGCAACGCCTCATTGCATTAGCATGCACTTCGCGTGTTAGCTTCTTGCCGGCGCGTCTGGTGAGCGAAACGGCGCGCCGCTCGCCGCTAATGGGTGCGGCGTGCCCCGCCGTCTGCCCGCCGCACGCCCCGCGCCGTGGCGAGAGGCAGCCGTCCCCACGGCACCTGCCGCACACGCGGAACGCAGCCGCAGGAAGCGTTGCTTCACATTCTGCGACGTGTAATCTCTGCATGAGCTCCAGGATCGTGCGTGAGATTTACCTACTTTGGGAGCAGTAATCCGACTGTTCCGTTGTTTAAGCCGTCTGTCTTCTGACGGACAATCGCGCCGAAGACATTATCAAGCCTCGTGGTCTGTCTGGCGTGGCTACTTCACAAATGCAGCGTACACGGAACTCTGCTTCTCTACATTGCTTGAAACCGTTATCAGTTATTTGCGCTATGCTTTGATCGTAGCTCTCCTAAATAAGACATGACGATGCCTTTTGTCTGCCACGTCATCTGCTTTTGCTTTGACATCGCCTAGTCATGGTCAGTGGTTCACTTTGATCTCAAATTCAACGACTGAAGACTCCAAAACTTCATTGACATTAATTTGATCAAAGTTCAATGGGTCAAGCGCTCCTCGGGCTGGTCAAGCATAGCTCTTGTCCATGCAAGCAGTCATGGCAAAACAAGTTCTGGAATCAGAGGAACGTCGTCGGTAGAACGCCTCCTTTCCATTGGCCATCGCGGGGTCATGGGCTTCTTCGACAGCTGGCTCGTCGGCAGCTGTCACGATGATCATCCCTTTTTATACTGGTGCGGAGGCAGTCAGTCCTCTTTTTGTGTCGGTGATCGATTTGACCGAGTGAATGATGGCCTTCACGTAACTGCTGTCTTGTCTTCCAACGGAACCATGCGATTGGAGTACGTCAGAAAAGAGTACTGGGAATATGACCACTACCACCATCTCTACATGCTGGTCATCACTGGAATGACACACTTGAGTTTCGAAAGTGGAAAGCAGTCTCAGTAGAAAAGCCGGGGACGGCTTGTGATCTATTTGAGATGGGCACTAGCTGACTCCCAGGCATCAACGGACACTCGAAAAGGAGGTCTTTATGGAGTCGGCCGCTGCGTTGAGCGGGGCGGTTCAAGTCCAGTCTGCCACACCCGGCCCACGAGCGTGCGCGGCGCGCAGCCTTCATCCCGTGAAGAGAGGTGTTTACACGGCCGTGTGCAGGGTGATTGGACTTGCCTCGCCCCCCTCGGCTGGTGTCGCTCGGAGTCGGCGCCGGCGGTGCTCCCGGTTCAGTCCAATCACCTCTCACACCCTGTAAACCTCTCTTCCAGGATGAGGCTGGTGCTCGTGGTCGGCGCGCTGCTGGCCGGCGTGGCGGCGCAGCAGGTGTACCTCCCTCCCAACGTCGACTCCACGGGCAGCGGTGGCGACGTGCAGTGTGCGCCCGTGCGCACCATCACCCAGTACAGCACGGGCTACGTCACCGACACGCGCTTCCGCCAGGTGACGCGCCAGGTGCCGCAGTTTGTCACCGAGACGGTTGTCTCCAGCCGGCGCGTGGCCTCCGAGGTGGTGCGCACGTCCCTGCTGCAGAGCACGGCGCTGCTGCCGCGCGACGTGGTGCGCACGTCCGTGGTGGCACGCCAGGTGACGCGCACGCGCACTGTGCCCGGCGGCGTTCGCCAGCTGACGCGCACGGCCGAGCAGGTGGTGGTGAGCACGCGCATCCAGCAGCAGGTGCGCACAGTGGAGACGACGCTGGTGCAGCCGACCACGCTGCTGCGCACGGCTTTCCGCACCAGCGTGCAGGTGGCGTCCGTGAACGTGCCGCAGGTGCAGGTGGTCAGCCGGGTGCAGACGGTGCCCGGGCCGGTGGTGACAGTAACGCAGACGCAGCAGCGGATCAGCACACGCCTGGTGACGCAGCAGTCGCCGCCGGTGGTGTCCACGCGGCTGGTGCAGGACGTGCGCGTCATCACCAGCCAGGTGGCGGTGCCGGGCGCCGTGCGCACCTCCACGCGCGTGGTCGCCTCCACCCAGGTGATCCCCGTGCAGTCGGTGGTGCAGGTGCCGCGCGTGCAAACGGTGCAGGCCACGGCCACGCGCCAGTTCGAGCGCACGCTCTTCCGCACGTTCACGCAGCAGCAGGTGGTACCGCGTGACGTCGTCTCCACGCGCGTCGTCAACTCGCAGGTGGTGCGCACGCAGACCGTGCAGGCGACGCGGCGCCAGGTGGAGTACAACACGCGCCTGGTGACCGTGCAGCAGCCGGCGCAGCCCGTCTACAGCACCGTCTTCCGCACCGACGTGCGCGTCGTCACCGTGCCTGGCCGTGCCGTGCCCGTGGTGCGCACGCAGGTCGTGGACCAGGTGGTGAGCCGGGAGGTGGTGCAGACGCGCGTGGTGCCTCAGGTGGTGCGGAGGACCGTGCGCGTCACGCAGACGTGCCAGAACGGCGGCGGCGGCGGCGGCGGCAGCGGCGGACGCGGAGTCGGAGGAGGAGGAGGAGGAGGAGGAGGGGGAGGAATAGGAGGATTCATCAGAGGAGGAGGAGGGTTCATCAGAGGAGGTGGAGGAGGAGGAGGAGGAGGATACAGCGGAGGAGGAGGAGGAGGAAGTGGTGGTGGTCGTGGTGGTGGATACAGCGGAGGAAGAGGAGCACACGGTGGGAGAGGAGGTGGATACAGCGGAGGAGGAGGCTTCATTCGGATTAGTGGGCCTGGCATTGGCAAATCACACAGCTACTAGAGGGGGGCGATAGATCAAAGCAAAAGAACTCGACAGAACCATACGCAAACCGTAGATTCGGACCAGTCGCTTTGAAAGGCAAAGCGTTCCAGATGCAGAACGTGCAAGCTGGTGACTGAGCAGAAAATGGTATCAACCGGTCGTGCTGAGACAATGAGCCCATCGAAACATTGAACTTCATGACCTTACTTAAGTCGTCGGCCGCCGAGACAGCGGCAAAGGTGATGAGAACGCTGTTTGTACTATTCGCTCGTATAGATATACTCGGAGAGAATACACCTGAACGTTTAGCATTGCTGTATGGGTAAAGAAGCGCAATCACACACTGAATGGGAGCATTTGGTTTTTGGGGGGCTTTTAAAGCTATGGGGCTCAATATGATTCGGTGCCATTTTACATAGTTTTTTACATGGCTTTGATGCATTGGCATAGCTCACGGTCAAAGTACAAAACATGCGGTAAGCACAACGGTTATTAGGGCCAGGTGCCCACCGCCCCCTGTGAGAACAACCAGGGTCTAAACAGGAGTACGCTTGCGTGTCCATGGTCTAAGAAATGTCATCCTTTGGGGAAGTGAAATTCCGTTTTCATTGCAACTTTCAGCTGCGTTATTTATGACGCATCAGCTCATTTAAGAATGGCATAGAAGTTCCGCTGTGAGGCCTGCAGATTACCAATCTTAAGTTCAAATAATCTATGTGGGATCCTGAGAAAAGCACATCTGTTGGAAACAGCCATAACGGTGAGTAATATGTAGGTGTTCATGCCTTTTGTGTTATTGCAGTGATACTTTTCAAAATATACATCACGCCGTCTTGTATTGGCTCATGCGTGACGCGTCGACAAATCGATATGTTTCCACTGAACGGCCTCATGGTGGCCTCAGGTACCCATCGCAAATATGGAAACCATACACCAGTCACGTGGCTGGGCTACTGCGCCATCACCGTGGATCATAGCAGCCTTCCTCCCAGCCAAGTGTCTCCCAATGGCGTCTGTCAGTGGGCGCACGGCCCGCGTCCGCCTCAGCGTGTGCCCGCGGCCCGTGACCGCCGCGTGACCCGCGTTCCCTCCGCAGGATGAGGGCCATCGCGCTGCTGCCGTGTCTGCTGGCGGCCGTGCGTCCCTGGCCGCAGGACTACCCCAGCTATAACACGCAGAGCGCGGCCAACGCGGGCGGCCTCAGCCTGTTCTCACGCGCGAACAGCGGCGCCAGCAACACCCAAGGGTTCGGCTCCGTCTTCTCCACCGGCCAGTCGGGCGCATCGTACGCTGGAGGCTCCGGGGTGACGGGCTCGGGGGCCCTGTCTGGAACGGTGCTGTCCAATAGTGGGCTGTCCGGCGGCTCGTACTCGGTGGGCACTGGATTGTCCGGCTCTGGGGTAGCGGGATCGGGGGCCCTGTCTGGAACGGTGCTGTCCAATAGTGGGCTGTCCGGCGGCTCGTACTCGGTGGGCGCTGGATCGACCGGCTCCGGGGGGTCAGTGGTCTCCGGTTCCGATCTGTCCAACAGCGGATTTTCCAGCTCTGGATTGTCCAGCACTGGATTCTCTAGCTCTGGAATTTCCAGCACTGGAGGGTCCAGCTCTTTTGTAGGCGACTCGGGTCTCTCGGGCGGTGGTCAGTTCATCTCGGGCGGTGGTCAGGTCATTTCCGGTGGCGGTCAGGTCATCTCTGGCGGCGGTCAGGTCATTTCTGGTGGGGGTCAGTTCATTTCCGGTGGGGGTCAGGGCATCTCGGGTGGTGGCCAGGTCATCTCGGGCGGTGGTCAGGTCATCTCGAGCGGTGGTCAGGTCATCTCGGGCGGCGGCAACGGTGGCGGTGGTGGTGGTGGCGGCGGCGGCGGCGGCGGCGGCTGTCCCCAGGACCAGGTGGTGACGTTGCCGCGCCTGCAAACCCAAGTACAGGAGGTGGTGAACACCGTGGACGTGCCGGTGCGTCAGACCCAGTTCGTCACGCGCACCACCGTCGTGCCGGACTTCGTCACGCGCACCGTCGTGCAGACCAACGTCGTCACACAGACCGTGTTCAACACGCGCACGCAAACGCAGTTCAGCACGCAGGAGGTCGTGTCGACGGTTCGCCTGCCCGACGTCGTCAACACCGTGACGCAGACCCGCTTCCGGACGCAGGTGCAGACGCAGTTCCGCACGCAGACGGTGCTGGTGACGCGCCGCCGGCTGCGCACCGACTTCCGGACGGTGACCTCGACGCAGGTGGTGCAGAGCACGGTGCGGGTGCCGCAGCTGGTGCTCAGCACTAGCGTGGTGCAGGTGCCCGGGCCGGCTCAGACGCGCGTGCGCACCGCCTTCAACAACCGTGAGGTCACCAGCTTCGTGGTGCAGCAGCCGCGCACGATCGTGCAAACGCAGACCAACGTGCAGGTGAGCCCCGGAGGGAAGAGCGAGGAGGCGGCAGAACGGCGGCGGCGGCGCGTGGGGACGCGTGTCGGCTTGCATCACGCCTCAGACGCGCGCACGATGAGAAAGGTGCCCGAGGTTTCGTGTGGTGGGGCGGATCGAGGCTGAGCTCGCCAGTTGGTGTAACGCAACGACTTCTCGGCAAAAAGCGCCACGACCGTTGGCATGCTAAGAGCACCACGCGATCGCCGATTGGCCTGTTGCTCTCCCGAGCTGAGGGCAAAAACTGCCCTGAGACGGACATGTCAATGTTTTGTTTCCCAGCGCAGTAGGTGGTTAAATGCTCAAAGTGGTAGTGATAATTGTTGTAATGTTTTTCGATGCAGGTTATTGGATTGCCGTTGGTCATGAGCATTGCAATCGTCAGCAGCGTTGACAGGGATAGTGAAGCATGCAGCACGAGGGCCTCATTACTGCAGTTGTAATTCAAGTAATACGCAGGCTTCAGAGTTCTTCCAGTCCGAAATCTGAGGTGTCAGTGACGATGTTGAATGTAAGGGTGGGATGTTTGTCTTTGGCGACCGACTGATGACCCCAAATCGGTCCCACCACGTCCACTGCACACAGATCCTGCATTGCCGTACACAGAGTGCAGTATTCAGGGCACCGTCACACCAGCGGCTACACCGGCTCTCACTTACCCCACCCCCAAAGCCTGAGCTCCGACCTCACATGCCCGGTGTGCCGACAGGTCAGACCCTGGTGACCTGACCTCACATGCACCTGTGCGTCGGCAGACCCAGGTGGTCCGACCTCACATGCCCCTGTGCGCCGAAAGACCCTGGTAACCTGACCTCACATGCCCCTGTGGTGCCGACAGACCCAGGTGGTGACGCAGCAGGTACGCCAGCCGGACCAGTTCGTGACCATCACCAGCGTGCAGGTGGTGCCCGTCACCTCGCTGGTGGTGCGCACTCAGCTGGTGCCCCAGCTGGTCACCGTCACGCGCACGGTCGCCAACACGGTCACGCGCACCGAAGTCACCACGCGGGTGGTGCGGGTGCCATCCGTGCGCGTGCGCACCGTCCTCCGCACCAACTTTAACACCCAAGTGGTGACACGTACGCAGCAGGTGGTGCAGACCGACTACCAGGAGCGCGTGCAGACGGTGCGCGTGCCGTCTCAGCCGCAGACGCTGGTGCGCACCCAGGCGGTGGTGGTGACGAGCACGCAGCGCCTGCCTGACACCTACACCACGCGCGTGGTGACCGTCAACAACCCGCGTCAGGTGCTCAACACGCGCTTTGTGCAGCGCGTGCAGACGCAGCAGGTGGTGGTGACGCAGACCGTGTCCGGTTACTGTGGGGGAGGAGGAGGAGGTTTCAGCGGAGGAGGCGGTGGAGGAGGCTTCAGCGGTGGGGGAGGGGGAGGAGGAGGACGCTTCACGGGAGGAAGCGGAGGAGGCTACAGCGGAGGAGGCGGTGGAGGAGCCTTCAGCGGTGGGGGAAGAGGAGGAGGAGGAGGCTACAGCGGAGGAGGAAGCGGAGGAGGTTACAGCGGAGGAGGACGAGGAGGAGGAGGCAGCAGCGGTAGCTCGAGTGTCCGGGACTACCCGAGCTATGGCTAGCGGTCCTAGACACAGCCACAGCCCGTGGCATGCTGCAGTGAGATTCTCGTCAAGCCAGGCAGTGTGCGAAGAAACAGACTGGTTCATCAGAACGCATAAAACTTTTTGACGACCAGTATGTGGGATAAGTGTATTGTATTAATCATATAAGCCATAATAAACCGGCGATTGAGTAAAGTGCATATTTTTACGACGCCCTAAACCACTGGCTTCACGTTCGTCTGGCATGCAGAGACAATGGAGTGATAGAATCGTGAAATGCCTAGCACTAGTCTACATTTATGCTTCTTCATTACGGGCCGTCATAAAAAAAAACTGAGGATTGCTCAGAGCAAGCTGCTGCCTCAAACGCGGTTTGGTAACCAAAAAGACCGTCTGTACATAAAGCATCGCGCTTGATTTGCTGCCCGGCGCTCCAGACTTCAATGGTCAAAAAGCACAGACGCTCCATCACAACATCCCGCAAACCGGTAAGAAGATGCGAGGTTACAAGGGTTGCAAGAGGGTTTGAAATATAAAGTCCCTTCACCAGCAGAAGTTGAGGAAAACATCCGCTCTGACTACAGTTAGTATCTCCTCAACAGGAATACGTGGTGTTTACATGCATGGTATAAACGCAATAGCACACATTACAGGCATGTTTTACACCATAAGGCTGCAACGCCTAAGTTTTTACGATGGGAGACACTGCAGTGAGTGAAAAGGAATTGCGAACCTAGAGGGGTTGGAGCTATGAGTCGTCCTTCAAATGGTTCAAGAGACCTTCCAGACATCCGAATTGCTCTTTGAGTAAAATGTGATGAAAACTAAACTTCATTGATGTTGTTGTTGTTCATTGGAGTTTTCGGGCGCGTCGACTGCAGTGGTCATTTTGCGCCCAGACTAAACTTTATGCCACGCTAATGAATAAGCTTTCACGGGACTTCCAGAATCGCCTAAAGACTAGGGGTCAGGCAAGAAGCCCTTGCTGGTGTAAAATGGGACCTCTTACGCAAAAAGCGTGAGATAATTCTGATAATATGCAAATATCGGACCCCAACAGCAGCATCATGGGACGCCTCAAGCAAAGCCGTAGGGCCCCTCAGATTGAGGGGTCCCCCGGCAGCCGCTGCCCCTCGCCTTTGGCCAAAAACCATGACTGCGTGCCTGCAGACAGGGAACCACGAGCATCTGCCGTTCCGTGCGTCCGTGATGTGGCCGCAGTCATGGACGCGCCATCGAAAGCGACGACATTTGCGCAGCGTCCGCTGTTTATTATAGCGTGAGCGGGCACAGTCCTACCGAGCGCGGCGTGATTACGCGCCAGATGAAAGAGATTATCGGCATGAATATGGCACACCATCTCCGCTGGTGGCGGGTCCCGTGTGTAGAAGTGGGATGGCGTGAAATGACCGGGCACATGCGTTTGGCCCTTTGACGGTGAAGTGGGTCACATAATACTAAATTAAATCAAGAGGTCATTCACCAAGACTCCTCCAAAAGACTACAAGTGCAATGGTGTAAAACATGTCTGACTGCAGCATATGGCATTGCGTCGAAACTATGTATGTAAATACCGCTTATTCCTCTTAAGGAGATGTTAGGTGCATGTTTTTGGGATGGGGGATGGGGATGTTCTGGGATGTTTTTCTCAACTTCTGCGGGTCATGGGGCTTTTTATTACAATCTCTCTTGCAATAGCTAGGGTCAAGCAGATGACGCATTAAACAGCTACCGTGAACCTGCGTCAGACTGGTGTCATTGAATACCAGCGGTAACGACATTGTTGAGGCGAGTCAGGTGAACAGGTAAGATTACCGGACTGTGACGAGGTTGCGTCTACTTTTGGGCTTCGAGCACCGTCCCGACATATTTTGTTTGCAATCTGCTCTGTCGTGCACCTCAGTGGCTGCGGGAGGGCGATCAGAACGGTCCCTTGGTAATGGCGGCTTAGTTATTATTCCGGTGGCGGCGATCGGCGCCCGGTCGTGGCCAAGCCTGTTCGCAGTCACTCGTCTGGTACGCGTGAGTCCTCCCCACCCCATATTCCGCTGCCTTTTACGTCACGCCAGATTCTAATTGCATACCATACCGATGTGCGTACTGGGCTGGTCGGCTGCGGAGAGTAGTTGGGCGCATACAGCCTTGAGAGTGGGCGTCAGCGGTGTACACGAGGCAGTCGTACGTATCTGGGTGTCGGCCGGCGCACGAGACTGCGCAGCCCGGTGGGCGGGGACGCTGTTCGCGGTTGGGGCGCCGGCCGGCGAGCGAGACCGTGCAGCCCGGTGGGCGGGGACGCTGTTCGGGGTCGGGGTGCTGGAGTCGGCGCACGAGACTGAGCAGCCCGGTGGGCGGGGGCGCTGTTCGCTGTCGGGGTGCTGGCGTCGGCGGGTTTGATTGTTGAGGCGCCAGGGGCTGCAGTCATGTCGACCTCATGTGCACGTTCGGTGAGGCATTTCTTCTTTGAAAGCCGGCACCCGAAGAAGCGAGAGTTACCGTCTATCACCGTGCTTTCACGACATGCCCAGAAAAAAATGTCCTTTGGTATGTGTCATGGAAGCAAGCATTACCCTGCTCTTTCGCACACATTGAACTACTGTCGTGACGAAAAGAATTGCATGTATTTTTGTCTTCCTTCATATGAAAACCAAGTGCATCGTTTAAAAAAAAAAATGTTCGCCATCGGCAAAGCCTTCAAAACCTAGCAGTGTCAAACATGACAGATTTTTTTACCCAATGTGGGTGACTGCACACATAACTTTCATCCGGTTTATTTGCGTGCATCGTCATACCGTTCACGTCAAGCCTTTACAAAAAATAAGGCACCCCTTTACTCCCGGCGTCCCTGGTGACGGCTTGTAAGCTTACAGCTACACGAGAACACGCTGCGCGGAAAAGACGGCAGACCACGTGCAGCCGACGATGCATCGCGACCTGAGAGAGGATATGGCATGAAGCTGTCTGCAAACTTCAAAGCTGTGCTCAAGCATCGAGCTGATCATCAAGGAACCAAGCCTACTTCTGCCTTTGGTTGTAAATGTCACCAATTAGGGAAACGGATCATGTGAAAGTATGTCCTATTTGCCAGCTTACATCGGGCAGCGACGCAAACAGCATAATAAGTTGCTGATGTCAGCGGTTTCGACACTACCTTTCTTAACATGAGTTCCAAAAAAAATCCAAACAAGGACAGTTGCAAAAGGCCCCTGGACATCTGCGACCTGTCGTCGAGTAAGGATCAAGTCAGACGCTAAGTGAAGGGCTTCGGGTCCGTCAGTTGCATTCCAACCGGTGTTGTTGGCGGTCATTACACATAAAGCACGCAGAGCATATTCGTGCCATCAAACTCGCAGCGATAGGCAGACAGCAATGGCCGCGCCTGCCAGCACTCGTGAATCGCTCTGACGTCGTCACCCCTCGCAGCGAAACGACCACATTCTCTCCACTGCCGGCGGACCTCCCACCCACGATTCCTGGATGTATTTCGGGATCAGGCAGTTTACCGCCCCGCGCTGGTGTGAGAGGTCATGACCTTGGACTCTGCGTATGGAGGATAATGCACTGGAGCGGACTGGAGCAGGCCCCACCTCGGCGCCCCACCTCGGTCCTTCATCACTGGCCGGAGGCCGTGTGACGGAGATGGACTCTCTCTGACGCGGTGCCCAACGACCTTGACTCGTACTCCCGTGACCGCCGTGGCCGGCTTCTCACTCCCTCCCACTCTCACTCTCTGTCGCACGCGCGACGCTCCGCTCTCTCCCCGCCGCCGTAGCGCCGCCCTGCGATTCAGCGCGACTGATTCTCCCGGACCCGGTGATAGGGCGGGAGCCGCATGGTATGCGGGACGGGCGTCAGTTTGGTGACCCGGCGTTCGTGCAGCATCGCCGCCCTTCGTCAGGCGGCCGGGCGGCCGGCCTGACCATTGATCAATGCTTCGGATGCGGCGGGCAGTGTCCGGGGCTGGGTCTCGCGGCGTCACCAGGACAACTGTACGACGCTCGAATAACATGTGACAGTAACACGGCGCACGTCACCCGCGTCAGCACGCCCGAGACCCTGCGCCGTACGCTCAGGAGCACAGCCAAATGCACCATGCTTCGAGAACACAGCCAGCTGTGCCGTCCTATCTAGAACACAGCCAGCTGCGCAGTACTCCCGAGAACACAGCCAGCTACGCCGTCCTCTCGAGAACACAGCCGTACTCTCGGAGCACAGCCAGCTGTGCCGTACTCCCGAGAGCACAGCCAGCTGCGCCGTCCTCTAGAGAGCACAGCCAGCTGCTAGCGGGTGTGAGCCAGTGACACAGTTCAGACCAGCCTCGGCAACGGACACCACTCCGGACGGCACCCGGGACGGCACGGGTGACGGGCCGGCTGCGGGCCTGCCGACGGCCGGCTGCGGGCCTGCCGATGGCTGCAGCGGGCCTGCCGACGGCTGCAGCGGGCCTGCCGACGGTCACCGGCGGCGGGCCTGCCGATGACCGGCTGCAGGCCTGATGACGGCGACGCCAGAGCGGTGAGCGCCGCCGCCACCGGCACGGTTGGCAGTGGCCTGACCTGAGTGCTCTCAGAGTTATACGCGATTATGACACTGAGTTGAGACGCCCGGCTTTGTAACACACACACACACACACACACACACACACACACACACACACACACACACACACACACACCACACACCACACACACACCACACACACACACACACACACACACACACACACACACACACACACACACACACACACACACACACACACACACACACACACACACACACACACACACACCACACACACACACACACACACACACACACACACACACACACCACACACACACACCCACACACACACACACCACACACACACACACACACAACACACACACACACACACACACACACACACACACACACACACACACACACACACACACACACACACACACACACACACACACACACACACACACACACACACACACACAACACCACCACACACACACACACACACACACACACACACACCACACACACACACACACCACACACACACACACACACACACACACACACACACACACACACACACACACACACACACACACACACACACACACACACACACACACACACACACACACACACCACACACACACACACCACACACACACACACACACACACACACACACACACACACACACACACACACACACACACACACACACCACACACACACACACCACACACACACACACACAC